TCGGTATTTGACGCTCATGGAAGCACGGCATTTGTTTGTGTCGGAGGCTGTTAAAGGCAATGTGAGCGTCCATTCCCATTGGATAACGGAGAATTGTACACCCGGAAGTAAGTATTCCCCTTACTGTCGATTGATTTGACAGTGATATCTGCACTACTCATCAACTCAAAAACACCAGATTATCCTTGTTAATTAAACGACATTGATAGGTTTTAGTGTGTGTGCAATGCTTTTGTCACGTTTTCCCCTTCAATTCTGAGAAACAAGTCGTTTTCTGCTAGTGAGTTATCCGCGCGGCCCACCTCGGTGCCGCAAGTAAATACCGCGAGGAAATTGTCGACGGGGGGGGGGGTGCTAGTGACTTATCCGACCGGCCCACATCGTCCGACCGGCCCACTTCAGTACCGGCCCATCGGGATTCGTCCCGAACGTCCCGATGGCCAGTCCGCCCCTGTCTGCCGTAGTTAACTCTGCCCTGATGACAAGACTTCTAGACAAACAGGAACTGCCGCCAAAACTGAAAACTTGACGTGGATCATAAATATATCAGCAATTAAACAACATCTTACATTTCTTTTCACACAATACGTCTCCTTGCAGTATCAACACTAATTCGGCTGACTTTTATATTTGATCCAATTGGTAGATATGCTGTATTTACGCCATAACGGTACACAGCTGATAGAAAGGGACACCTACTGGTTAAAGCACGTTATTGCATTTTATAATTTTATTATTAGATATTAATAGGATCCCTATAAAGTATATTCTTTACTCGTCGTTATTCTCTACTAATAGTTAATTAACGACTGTATATAATGACTATTTTGCACATCCCATTCAAGATTTCAAGATTTTCTAAGGTTTATTGACATATCATATTATACACAACTACGGTGTAGTTATGCAATGAATGAAAAACTTGGGTCGCAGGTTCCTCAACAGTGCATTACAAGACATCTATCAATATGTGTGTACCTCCACCATTACATTGTCATATTCTGCACATTTCTTATACTATCTACATACATCTTATAAGAGTATAACACATATGTATAATATCAGTTAAAATAAGTGCTTAAACATAGTTAACATGGCAGGAAAGCAATATATTAGACGTTAAGTACTTTGTCAGGCTTAATATTTATCTGTAGATACAAATTTCACTGTGTGTGCTGTGTGCTCTGCATGTGTGACCATCAAAGAGGGTTTCATCCCTCCATATTCATCTTCTATACCCCCAAAGCTTTTTTCTTATTCAAAAGAAGACCTTAACCTAAAGTATTCTTTAATGTTTAAATAAAGCCTTATTAGTTTGTCTGTTTTGCACATCCTCCTATTAATATCTAATAATACAATTATAAAATGCAATAACGTGCTTTAACCAGTAGGTGTCCCTTTCTATCAGCTGTGCACCGTTATGGCGTAAATACAGCCTATCTACCAATTGGATCAAATATAAAAGTCAGCCGAATTAGTGTTGATACTGCAAGGAGACGTATTGTGTGAAAAGAAACGTAAGATGTTGTTTAATTGCTTATATATTTAAGATCCACGTCAAGTTTTCAGTTTTGGCGGCAGTTCCTGTTTGTCTAGAAGTCTTGTCATCAGGGCAGAGTTAACTACGGCAGATATGTCATATTTAATGCAGCCGAAACGTGTATCACAATGCCGTTATGTGATGACTTTCAAAGAGAAAAGCAAGCACACTCGGAATAATGTATTATTACATTTTTGTATACAGTCTATGGTTGCTACAGAGGATTGTGGGTAATGTAATGTCTTCGGCCATCCAAAACTCATAAAAAACGACTTGTTTCTCAGAATTGAAGGGGAAAACGTGACAAAAGCATTGTACACACACTAAAACCTATCAATGTCGTTTAATTAACAAGGATAATCTGGTGTTTTTGAGTTGATGAGTAGTGGAGATATCACTGTCAAATCAATCGACAGTAAGGGGAATACTTACTTCCGGGTGTACAATTCTCCGTTATCCAATGGGAATGGACGCTCACATTGCCTTTAATAGCCTCCGACACAAACAAATGCCGTGCTTCCATGAGCGTCAAATACCGACGCCGATGGGAATACATTGCAATCAGTTGAAAGCTCTTTGCGTCCGTTTATGAAGCTGAAGGAGCCTCGGCGCGTCACAACTGGACGCCACGGGACCCTGACCAAGCGTCGCTCCTGGACGCTTAGGGAGTGAGAGTGTGTTGCAAGTGAAGCTATTCCTTAGCTGCCTAAAGCGTAGCCATTCTACCTCTGAGCCTGATTTCCTAGCCTTTGCCCAGGCCTTGTTTCTCTCATGCAGGAGACTGGACAGTTCAGCAGAAAACCAAGGATTGTCTCGTCCCTTTACTCTAAATGTACGCAGGGGTGCATGTCTATCAATGATCTCCATAAAACCAAGATAAAAATAAGACCATGCAGTTTCTACATCAGCACACAGATCGATTTTTCCCCAATCAAACCCAAACAGATCATGAACAAAACACTGCTCCACAAAATGTTTTGTGTCTCTCTTAATAATAATACGAGGTTTAACCTTTTGGACCTTAGTGTCCCTAATTGTGGCTACAACACAGTGGTCACTCACATCATTCGCAAATACTCCCACAGATGAGTATTTATAGGGAACATTAGTTAGAATGAGATCAATTAGGGAGGATTTATTAGGGGACTTAACGTTAGGGCGAGTAGGACTGTCAACAATCTGAGTAACATTCAGAGAGATACAAAGGTTTTTAAAATCCTCTGATACTGCAGTTAACCAGTCCCAGTTAAAATCACCAAGTAGCACTATTTCCTTGTAGTCAAGTTGTGATAAAAGTTTTGCTAGTGAAGACAAGGAGTCCTTGACAGCTGAGGGGGGTCTGTAACAGCCCACCACCATGACCTGTTGACCCTTTGCCACTTCTATATTTAAGGCTAAAAATTCGAATTGCTTACTGATAGATTTGGAAACCAATGTGGTTACACTGAACGGAATTAATTGGAAAACAACATTTGAACATATTTCTACGTGAGTACAGATCTACACCTCACAGCACAACAGAGAGCTCACCTGCTGAACTGTTATTCCAACGCAAAGTGTACACAAAGATCCCTTCATTCACTCACACTGCCAACAAGAGCTCAGACTCAGAAGTGAGAGCGAAGGACAAGAAGGCTAAAGCCAAGATGAAATCTCATGCAGACACTCATCGTCATGCTACACCTCACACTTTCACTCCTGGTGACATCGTGCTTCCTCGCCAGCCCAAGCATAACAAACTCACCACACCATACAACACTAAACCCTACACTGTGATTATAGTCAAAGGCTCAATGGTTACAGCGGCCAGAGATGGACCTTGCATAGTCAGGAACTGTTCATTCTTCAAGAAGATCGCTGGAGAGCTAATTGACATCCCACCAGATCCAGTCAGTGATGACTCTACTGTCACAGCAACACCCAGATATCCCACGAGACACGATAGGCGTCCTCCTGCCTATTTACAAGACTATACATCATGGACTGCTAAACATGTGAATGATACTCTGGGTATATACAAATGTGTATATTTCCAACTGTTGTTAACTTCAAGAGACTGTTGAGTCCTGGTTAAGACAAGAAGTGAGATCTATGTAGGAAACAGTTTTAATGCACTTTCAGTATGCATAATATTGTGTGGATGATGTGTTCAAAGCTCAAATGTAATGCAAAAGTCTTAAAGATACTGTTACAGCAGAATTGCACTAGTTCCAGATAACTGTTATGTTAAATGCAGTATAACAGCCAAATGTTTAAAGCTATTAAAAAAAAAGGGCAATGTGATATTCATGTGAATGTATTGTGCTCTCAGTATAACTGCGCCCCCTGCTGTCTACACAGCATATAGATACACTAGCAGTGAGGAAGTGCACAGTAAGCATGAATAACGTGTGTGAGCCAGCACTGGTTAATAAACCGTGTTAACGTCCAGCAAGTTGAGTCTTTCATGTCCAATCACAACATGGAAACATTACAGGTAGGTTTGATTAGCTCAGGGTTCAGGCTCTGAAACAACACTTTTAACGACTTATTTATCGATGATTCGTGTCTCTGATCATCGGTAGCTTTGTAGCTTTGATTAGCTCAGGGTTCAGGCTCTGAAACAACACTTTAATCTCCATTTTCATACAAAAATCAGACGCTACTCAGTGGATTTCTTCCCAACTAAATTTAACCTAGCAGCAACTGTTTCCAGGTCACTGCTGAATGGAGCGCTCTGATTGGTTGATCGGGAAGACAACGACGAAGAAAAAGGCAGATGACGTCACGGGGAGAGCGCCCCCTAGAGACCCGGATGAAAACAACATGGAAGAGCGATTTTAGAGTAAAAAGTACATATTTTAACAAAAGTATGAACAATATCTTGCATGATATCTAAGACAAGGACACACATATCTGCATCAATATGTGGTGTAATAATACTTTGAACTGTGATATTAATAGGCACTGATGATTGTATTACTTATTATAAACGCTATAAATGAATATTTATTTTATTTATTATGTTGATTTCTATTTAAATAAAAACAATTTGTTTACTCATTTGAAACTTCCCAAGCCTGTGAACATTTGATTAAACAAAGCTCCTCTGAGATTTTATTTATTTCATTTGATTTGTATTATTATTATTATTATTATTATTATTATTATTATTATTATTATTATTATTATTATTGTTATTACGTTACTCACCGTTTACGATGTTATTTAACCACAATTACAATTTATGTTATTTCCAACTATATTCTTATTCTTATTGTTATAAAGAGGAGGAAGAGGAGGAGAGGAGGAGGGGAGAGGAGGAGCAGGAGGAGGAGGAGCAGGAGGAGGAGGAGGAGAGGAGGAGGAGAGGAGGAGAGGAGGAGGAGGAGAGGAGGAGGAACAGGAGGAGGAGCAGGAGGAGGAGGAGGAGGAGGAGAGGAGGAGGAGGAGGAGGAACAGATTGACTTCATAGACGCTGCTTGTTCTAAATCTTTATTGAACGTATCGATCACTACAGTCTTCAGGATCAGCTTTAATACGTTGCTTCAAGAAAACTTTATTACAGACACAATCAGTGAGACACAAGGTAACCAATGAGAAGCCTCCATTTAAAACACCATATGACCCAGGACAGGAAGTGGACTCCTCCTACAGAGGACACAGAGACACTGAGCACACTAAGGAGGAGTCCTCTGACCAGACCAGAAACCCAGCGTAGAGAGGTTCAGTGAATCTGGCTCTGAAGGTGTGGAGGAGGATCAGTGAGGAGGAGGAGACGCTGTAGAAGGAGAGAGAGCCAGCAGCATGATCCAGATACACTGCTACTCTACGAGAGGAGGAGGGGTAGGAGGAGGAGTAGATGTGTGTTTCACTCTTATTGTGATAGACAGAGTAAGCTTCATCAGAGCAGATCAGACTCCAGGACTGATCATTCTTTCCAAACCAACATCCCCCTCCTTTCCTCCTGATTCCTCTGTAAGTCACTGCTATAAAAACCTCTCCTCTCCACTCGACCTCCCAGTAACAGCGACCAGTCAGAGCTTCTCTGCACATCAGCTGAGGCCAGCGCTCAAACCTCTCTGGATGATCAGGATATGGCTGCTGCTCCTCCTCTCTCACACGTGTCACCGTCCTGTTGTCCTCAGACAGTTTGAGTTTTCTGTGTGCTGTGTTTGAGTCCAGGGTGAGTTCACAGGGATCTGAGGAGAGACACAGACAGCAGTTTATCACCAGACTCACCTGAAGGCTTTCCTCTCTGTCAGTGATCTTTCTATAAAGCTTCAAGAGGTCATGTTCTAATGAATAAATAGCACCTCCATCATCTGTGTCTTCAGAGAGAAGCTGACTGATCCACACTTACACTTCCTCACACCTGGTCTCAACCACTGCTCTCCACCATGGTCCAGCCTGGAGGAAGAAACACATGTGAGAAACAGAACAGCGTTTTGTTAGAATAAAGTATTTATCAATGTTCATCATAATAATAAATGCTATGTGTCCGAAGGGAGCAGGAGGGAGCAGATGCTTATTGATCCCCCTCACTTCCTGCTGATCAATGATTATCCTTTCAATCATCTCTGAAAGTTATTCCTACTTACATATTTACATTTATACATTTACAATCATTTCTCCTCTTCAATCTCCTTTCTTCATTCTCATAGTTTCCCAAAGAAGTGTTTCTGTGCATCCTTCAAAGCGAATGCTATGTGTGCTTTGTTTGAACTCCTGCTCCAAGCCGCTCCATGAAACCCCCCCCCCACAGATTGTTCTGCTCTTCTCAGAGTTCTTCTGACCTTGAGTTGTTTCAGATGTAGATCTCCTCTCAGATGATACCCCCCCTCTCTGTCTATGAACAACGTCTGTAGTGTCCTAGGAAGTAGATGATCTCTTGCTCTGTACATGATGCAGTTTGAAATGTAACCAGATCAGTAAACTTCAGTGTGTGTGACTTCAAGAATAATGAATGAGTGTGTTCAAGATATCCAACAATATTGATTACTCTTAGAGCCCTTTTTTGTTCAAGGTTAGCTACACATAGCTACAGAGTAATTATGTCGTTGAAAATCTTATGTCACAGGCTTCTCCAACAATGCAACATAATAATACAGATAGTAAAAGTAAAAGTAATGTAATGTGCATAACGGCTGCAGGTTGGTTTAGTGTTTCAGATCTCCACACAGTAACTCAGACATGGAGATATGAGTGTATCACAGAGTATATCATGATGTGGTATGAGTGTATCACACAGAGTATATCATGATGTGGTATGAGTGTATCACACAGAGTATATCATGATGTGGTATGAGTGTATCACACAGAGTATATCATGATGTGATATGAGTGTATCACACAGAGTATATCATGATGTGATATGAGTGTATCACACAGAGTATATCATGATGTGATATGAGTGTATCACACAGAGTATATCATGATGTGATATGAGTGTATCACACAGAGTATATCATGATGTGATATGAGTGTATCACACAGAGTATATCATGATGTGATATGAGTGTATCACACAGAGTATATCATGATGTGATATGAGTGTATCGCAGAGTATATCATGATGTGATATGAGTGCATCACACAGAGTATATCATGATGTGATATGAGTGTATCACACAGAGTATATCATGATGTGATATGAGTGTATCACACAGAGTATATCATGATGTGATATGAGTGTATCACACAGAGTGTATCATGATGTGATATGATTGTATCACACAGAGTATATCATGATGTGATATGAGTGTATCACACAGAGTATATCATGATGTGATATGAGTGTATCACACAGAGTATATCATGATGTGATATGAGTGTATCACACAGAGTATATCATGATGTGATATGAGTGTATCGCAGAGTATATCATGATGTGATATGAGTGCATCACACAGAGTATATCATGATGTGATATGAGTGTATCACACAGAGTATATCATGATGTGTACTCCAGAATGTGTCTTGCTTTCCCCAATAGTGCGATAGTCTTAGCCAGTTTAGCTTTGACATGATGGATATGAGGTTTCCAGCTGATGTTGTGCTCTAACACCAAGGAACTTGTTTACATATACTCTTTCTATGTTTATGTTGTCTAGGATTAACCTGAGGATTTGTTTGAGGTTTTCCAAAGAGCATAATCTTTGTTCTGCTTATATTTAATGATCATTTGTTCTTATCAAACCAATGTTTGACTTGAATCATGTCTGCTGTTATTACCTCCATTAGCTGTTTCAAACTGTCACCAGAACAAAACATATTAGTATCATCTGCAAATACAATACATGTCAATATATTTGATACTCTGCAGATATGGTTGATGTATATGATGAACAGCTGTGGACCCAACACAGACCCCTGAGGTACTCCACAAGTTATGTTCATGTCTTCTGATTTATGTTCACCTATTTCACAAAGTGTTGTCTGTGGCTTCAATAATCTCTCAGCCAGTCTACTCCCACCCTCTGATGCCATAGCTTTCCAGTGTTGTCAGTAACATGTTGTGATCTATGGTGTCACATGCTTTCTGTAGCTCTATAAATATTCCCACTGCTTGTTTTTTATTGTCCAAGCAGTTTGCTATTTCCTCACTTAATCCCATTAATGCCAAACATGTTGATCTGTCTTTCCTGAATCCATATCCACTGTCGTCCAACAGCTGATGTGTTTCCATGAAACTGTCAAGTCTTTTTGTAAAACCCTTTTCAAGGATGAAAGTGGGAGAGCAAAGAAACATGTGATGTGTGTCATGGTGTTTATCCCCAGTTTGATATCATGGTATAACTTTAGCTATTTTCATTTCATTAGGGAATGTACCAGATTGAAAAGACAAGTTACAAAGATGTGTTCATGGTTCTGCAATTTATTCAATAATGTTTCTGACTCTAATCATATCAATATGATTCCAATCGGTCGAGGACTTGCTTTTACATGTCCGTACAGTGTCTATGATTTCTCTTTCTTCGACTGCTGTGAGGAACAAAGAGCTATTGGTTTCATTCCAGAGGTCTGTATCTTCCCCTTTAGTTGTTTCTACGCTTTTCATTCTTTCTGCCAGATCTGGCCCCACATTTACAAAGAGTTGGTTCAAACCATGAACCACATCTTCTGTGTTATTGATAACATTATCTTTGTCAACAAGAAACTCAGGGTAACCTGTACTCTTTGCTCCGTTTCTAAAGGTACTATTTAATACCTTCCATCAACCTTTCATTCTGATTATTCTTAGTATTTTATTATAGTATTCTTTCTTACATATTCTCATAATATTGGTTCATTTATTCTTATATCTTTTATATTTATTTTCTGCTTCTGAAGTTCTATATTATATGAGTTGTCTATAAAGTGTATTTTTCTTTATGCAGGCATTGTTTAGGCCATCAGTGATCCATGCACTGTGACTTTGTTTGTGTCTCTCTGCATTGTTTAGGCCATCAGTGATCCATGCACGGTGACTTTGTTTGTGTCTCTCTGCATTGTTTAGGCCATCAGTGATCCATGCACGGTGACTTTGTGTCTCTCTGCATTGTTTAGGCCATCAGTGATCCATGCACGGTGACTTTGTTTGTGTCTCTCTGCATTGTTTCACAGGACACTTTTTGTCATAAAGTCATTTCAAAATGTTTAGAAATTCATCATATGCCTTGTCCATATCGTCTCTCTCATATACTACCCTCCAATTGTGATTTAGTAAGTCATTCTTAAATGCATTTATGTTTTCTTCACTTCTCAATCTTTTGTATTTGAAATGGCTGGCGACTTTAGGTTTCTTAGAACTGCAGTGATAGACAATTAGAACAGGTGAATGATCACTGATGTCACTATATAGTAGTCCCTACTGTATTGTTTTCCATAATGTTTGTGAATATGTTGTCTATTCATGTAGCAGAGAAGTGATTGTACTAGGTCTGGTGGTTTTAGGATACAAACCCATACTGTACAATGCATTGATGAAGTCTTCTGTCATTTGATGCTTTTTTGGATTCAACAGGTCAATATTGTAATCCCCACAGATACACATCATGTTTTGTAATGATTTAGTAAACATGTTTCTACCCTATCTGTAAATGTGTCAATACAGGTTCCAGGAGCTCTGTATATACAGCTCACAATAACATGTTTAGACCTTTCCATGCACATGTCTACTGTAACACATTCAAACAAATCGTCAACAGCTGTTGTCATGCTCTCCACCACCTTCTAGTTCATTCCTTTATCCACATAGATTGCCCCTCCACTCTTATTCCTTCTGTTTGTATAATTCAGTTCATAGCCATCCATCTCAAAGTCCACACCTTCCTCAGCACTGATCCAGGTCTCTGATATTGCTATGATGTTGAATGGGTTCTTAAACTGACTTAGATATTCTTTAATGTTGAGGAAGTTGGCATCTAGGCTTCTGCTATTGAAGTGGATCATTGATATGTTCTCTTCTGATTCACACGTTACATTGAATTGCTCTTCTGTGAAATAGTTGCAGCTGTTGTTGATATTGTTCAGTAAGTTGTTTTCCGGATCAATATCCTGACTGACCAAGACAACGTGCACATATGAAGCTGATTCAACAAAACTAAAGGACATCCCTTCTTTGCCACTTCCTCGGCTAGCTTGAGCCCTCAGTTTACCGGGTCGCTCATTAAAGCACTTCATGACTGACAACGTGGCGAATATAATGTAGTCCATAATATAATCCAGGCTGAAGACTTTTCTTTTTGCCACTGCTTTTAATTGAACTATTCACATCTTAAACTGCACTGTAACTTTTAACTTTTATCCATGTATTTTTTCTTTTAATGTTTATTTTATTATCTTTTTTTTTTAATGACTGATTTTAAATGCCATTTTTAAAATGTCTTCCATTTTTGTAAAGCACTTTGAATTACCTTGTGTTGAAAGGTGCTATATAAATAAACTTGCCTTGCCTTGCCTTGCCTTGCCTAGTCAAACTCATCCATTTTTACAGATTCGCAGATTTTGATGCTTTGCCTCAGAGTCATCTGGGATAGATCGCCGAGATGCCGACCGGCAGAGACACTGGCTGGCGAAAACAAACAAAACCGAACCAATCTCCCCAAATTTAACGAAACAAAAAACAGACAAATAAACAACTAAGTGAAACAATTAATAAGCACAAAAGTCAAATGAACGCATATTAAAGAGTCCGGATTGTCCCTCTGGGAATCTAAAATGTCAAACAGAATCTCATCTCAACATATTTAGCAGTTGGTGAGATATCTCAGTCAGAACCAAATTCATAAACTGACCATCATTATCCTCCCTAGAGCCAGGAGACCAGTGGTTCTGATGTTTGGACTGAATGGCTGTTTCCATGTAATAAGACTTCAAGGTTAACTCACTGCTGTGAACATAATCAAGGGAAATGAGACGTCCTTCATGATGAAAGACCAGAGATGAAGGAGATGAAATTCGAAAAATAGGAGGAAGTCAGTCTGTCCATACCTGAGAGTGTCCAGTCTCCAGAGTGGATCCTCCAGTCCAGCAGAAAGCAGCTTCTCTCCTGAGTCTCCTGGATGATTGTAGCTCAGGTCCAGCTCTCTCAGATGGGAGTGGTTGGATCTCAGAGCTGAAGCCAGAGAAACACAGCCTTCCTCTGTGACCAGACAGCCTGACAGACTGGAACCAGGGAATACAGTAAATTCAGTGCTTTAAAAAGTCACATGAGCAGGAACATCATACAGAGGTGGACCATCTTCATCAACATGAACAAAAAGCTGGATGAAAATAATTGAACTGCTTGAAAATAAAAAGCTGAACTCTGACCTGAGAGTCTCCAGTTCACAGTGTGGACTCTCCAGTCCAGCAGACAGCAGCTTCACTCCTGAATCCTGCAGGTCGTTGTTACTCAGGTCCAGATCTCTCAGACGAGAGGACTGGGAGCTGAGGACTGAGGAAAGATCTTCACAGCTTCTCTCCGACAGGTTGCAGCCAGTTAACCTTGAAAGAAATGAATAAATATGGCAACATTCCTTTAATATTAAATGTAATTGAGCGCAAGGTTTCAACATACAATCTTTTCTAGTTCCTTTGTCAAATTATACCATCTGTTTGTCTGTGCATGTTTGTGTTTGTCAATCAGTCAGATACATTGAGATGTAGATAAGTGACGCCATCTGTCTTCAAATATAATCAGATTGTTATCATGGTTTTGTGGTTTATTGTTTTGAAGAAGAAAAATAAATAACAAACCGAAGGAGAATCGAAATGTATCATTATTCTAATTTGATAAAACTGGAAATTAGTCGATAGAAATGGCTGAACAAAACCAATCTGACAGTTAACATATCAGCTGAACTCTGACCTGAGAGTCTCCAGAGTACAGTGTTGACCCTCCAGTCCACCAGACAGCAGCTTCACTCCTGAATCCTGCAGGTCGTTGTTACTCAGGTCCAGATCTCTCAGACTAGAGGACTGGGAGCTGAGGACTGAGGACAGAGCTTCACAGCTTCTCTCTGACAGGTTGCAGCCAGTTAACCTTGAAAGAAATTAATACATGACAAAATTCCTTTAATATTAAATGTGATTGAGCGCAAAGTTTGAACATACAATCTTTTCTAGTTCTTTTGTCAAATTATACCATCTGTTTGTCTGTGCATGTTTGTGTTTGTCAATCAGTTAGATACATTGAGATTTAGATAAGTGACGCCATCTGTCTTCAAATATAATCAGATTGTTATCATGGTTTTGTGGTTTATTGTTTTGAAGAAGAAAAATAAACAACAAACCGAAGGAGAATCAAAATGTATTATTATTCTAATTTGATCAAACTGGAAATTAGTCGATAGAAATGGCTGAACAAAACCAATCTGACAGTTAACATATGAGCTGAACTCTGACCTGAGAGTCTCCAGAGTACAGTGTTGACCCTCCAGTCCACCAGACAGCAGCTTCACTCCTGAATCCGGCAGGTCGTTGTTACTAAGGTCCAGATCTCTCAGACTAGAGGACTGGGAGCTGAGGACTGAGGACAGATCTTCACAGCTTCTCTCTGACAGCTCACAGCCAGTCAGCCTTGAAATAAATTAATACATAACAAAATTCCTTTAATATTAAATGTGATTGAGCGCAAAGTTTCAACATACAATCTTTTCTAGTTCTTTTGTCAAATTATACCATCTATTTGTCTGTGCATGTTTGGGTTGGTCAATCAGTCAGATACATTGAGATGAAGATAAGTGACGCCATCTGTCTTCAAATATAATAAGATTGTTACAACAACAAAGATGGCGCCGCGAACAGCTGCTTCGATGTTACGGTGCGCTTTATTTTGTCTTGTTTTGTGCGTTAATTTACATACTGTACACCGAACTCTTTCACTAGGGAAGAGCTCCTAAACATTAGAGAAACAACTCCAGCGGATTACTTTCCCACTTTTCTCTGTTCTTCCGTGGAATTACTGGACATTCTCGTAAAAGGTTCCCTCACCTGCATTCGAGCACTCAAACGCCACAGGAGAGGGAAAAGGGCCGGGACACTGGTGCACCTCCGGAGCCGCGGACTTCGCACGCCGCTACCCGGAATATTTCTCTCCAACGTGTGTTCCATAAGCAATAAACTGGACGAGCTTCAGCTACTGGTTAGTAGAAACAGAGACTTCTCTTCATCTTTTGTTTTGTGCTTCACTGAGACCTGGCTGTATGGATCGATTCCTGACTTGGCGCTGCAGCTGGAGCTGTATGTTTTTACACAAACATTGGCTGGTGCAACGATGTGACAGTGATTCTGCAGCACTGTTCTCCCACTCTGGAAACTTTTATCATCAACTGCAGACCCTTTTATTCCCCCGAGAGTTCTCCTCATTCATACTGGTTGGTGTGTACATTCCACCACGTGCGAACATGCAGGAGGCGCAGCGCACACTCGCCGACCAGATACTGTGTGTGGAGAGGACTTATCCGGACTGCCTAGTTATTGTTCTTGGTGACTTTAACAAAGGCAACCTCAGCCACGAACTCCCAAAATATAAACAGTTTATTAAATGCCCCACCAGACAGGGGAATATTTTGGATCACTGCTACACAACCATCAAGGGAGCCTATCACGCCGTCCCCCGCGCTGCATTGGGCCACTCTGACCACACCATGCTTCACCTGATTCCTGCATACAGGCAGAAACTCAAGCTGTGTAAACCTGTAGTGAGGACATTCAGGCAGTGTAGCAGTGAAGCTAAGGAGGAACTTCAGGCGTGTGTGGACTGTACTGACTGGGACATGTTTAGGACTGCAACGCAAAGTCTGGATGAATATGCAGAGGCATACATCAGCTTCTACGAAGACAGCTGTGTACCAACACGCACCAGGGTGAGTTTCAACAACAACAAGCCCTGGTTCACACCAAAACTGAAACAGCTAAGATTGCAAAAGGAGGAGGCATTTAGGAGTGGCGATAAGGCACGTTTTAGAGAGTCGAAGTACGTCTTTGGCAAGGCGGTGAGAGGCGGTGAGTGATGCTAAACGACAATACTCTGAGAAACTTCAACATCAGCTCTCAGCAAACGACTCTGCTTCTGTCTGGCGTGGTCTAAGACAGATCACAAACTACAAGCCAAAAGCCTCCCTCTCCATGAACAACCGACGCCTTGCAAACGATCTGAATCAGTTCTACTGCAGATTTGAAGACAGAGAGTTCAGTCCTGACACCATCCCCCATGACACCTCTCAACAGCTTCAGGCCTAGGCTCCACAGGAACGAAAACGGGTTGTATCCGCATATTTCTCTTGCGTATAGCCCTTTAAGCTACACGACGCCGTAACGGAACGGTAGAAACGGACCCTGCAAACGACAACGGGTCCAAAGGTGGATAGATCTGGGAACGGAGCGCTCTGGGGGGTCCAACGGGTCCGTGTGGTCGCCTATACGGTCATCCGTTTCTGATAATGACGACGCAATAGCCCCGCCTCTCCCCGCCTCTGCTGCTCACCCCCGCAAAAGTACACTGCACACTGAATTCAGATTATTTATCTTTATCTCGATATGGACATAAACGCGAGTGAAGTCTAATCTGACAGGACGGAGACACGCAGCTCCTCTCGCTGTGATGCAGCGAGAGCAAAACACACACTTCAAGTCAGATCATCACCCTTAGCTATTTTAATTACCTCTCAAACTACCTAAACTAGTTATAAATATGTTTATTTTTACTGTCGAGTCATCATTATTGGATCAGCTGCTGCATGAGACAGACACTGACGCTGTCAGAAGAGAGGAAAAAGAGACAGGCTCCGTGTATTTTATTATCATATATCATTATATCGTCGTTATTCATTTGTTTTAAAGCTCAATAAATAACAAAGAAGACCTTTGACCGGCACTTTTATAATTTTGTCCGGAAGATTTAAACTTTAACACATGTTGACCGGCGAAAAACTCTGCCCGGATCCCTCGGCCCCCACCGCGGAGAATAAACAGAAGTGCAGCCATGACAACCATTCTTCTTCGCTGCTTTTGTGGAGGAAGTTGCTGCTTTTGTGGAGGAAGTTACAGCGCCACGTACAGGCTCGGCATATGTACAGCAGCTTTTCCAGCGGTTGGATGTAAACGGAACCGTCTCGTGTAGCAAGACACAATCCGGTGTATATTGCGTGTGGACGGAAGCTTTTTGGCGTTTGCGTTTGCGTTAATCCTATGCGTTTTGCCGTATGCGTTCCCGTGGAGCCTGGGCCTCAGTCTCACACCTCCACATCCCCCTCCCCTTCAGTATCTCACTCCCCCACACCACTGACCTCCCCCGACACATCAGACTCTCTCTCAATCAATGAAAGGGATGTAAACAGACTTTTCAGTAAACTCAATACCAGAAAAGCGGCTGGCCCTGACAATGTCTCCCCCTCCCTGAAGCTCTGTGCTGATCAGCTGTCTCCTGTGTTTACTGACATCTTTAACACCTCACTGGAGACATGCCACGTCCCAGCATGCTTCAAAACCTCAACAATCATCCCGGTTCCCAAGAAAGCAAGGATCACAGGACCAAATTACTACAGACCCGTCGCCCTGACCTCTGTGGCTATGAAGTCCTTTGAGCGCCTTGTCCTGTCCCACCTGAAATCCATCACAGACCCACTCCTGGACCCCCTGCAGTTCGCCTACAGAGCCAACAGGTCTGTGGACGACGCTGTCCACATGGCCCTTCACTTCCTCCTCCAGCACCTGGACACAGCAGGAAACTACGCCAGGATCCTGTTTGTGGACTTCAGCTCCGCCTTCAACACCATCATCCCGGCTCTGCTGCAGGACAAGCTCTCCCAGCTGCACGTGCCCGACTCCACCTGCAGGTGGATCACAGACTTCCTGTCTAAAAACAGTGGAGATGGTCGTGGACTTCAGGAAGAACGCAGCCCACCCACCCCCATCACTCTGTGTGACCCCCATCACTCTGTGTGACTCCCCATCACTCTGTGTGACTCCCCAGTAACTGCTGTGGAGTCTTTCCGCTTCCTGGGCACCATCATCGCCCAGGACATCAAATGGGAGCAGAACATCTGCTCCCTCACTAAAAAAGCCCAGCAGAGGATGTTCTTCCTGAGGCAGCTGAAGAAATTCAACCTGCTAATGACAATGATGGTGAACTTCTACACCTCCATCATGGAGTCCATCCTCACCTCCTCCATCACCATCTGGTACGCCGCAGCCACAGCCAAGGATAAGGGCAGGCTGCAGCGTGTCATCCGCTCTGCAGAGAAGGTGATCGGCTGCAATCTGCCATCCCTCCACGACCTGCATGCCTCCAGGACCCTGAGGCGGGCAGGGAAGATAGTGGCCGACCCCTCTCACCCTGGACACAAACTGTTCACCCCCCCTCCCCTCTGGCAGGAGGCTGCGCTCCATCAGGACCAATACCTCTCGCCACCTGAACAGTTTCTTCCCCTCCGCTACCAGCCTCTTAAACAAGGCCCGGCCCCCCCGCTGACACTTTACCTCTGCCACATCATAGACTATATGCATTACATTAATGCACACAATGTCATAGTCCTTTCTGCACATATTCTGATTTCACATTTCATAGTTTATATGCAAAAATTCATTCATAGCATTCTATTTCCATGTAAATTACTGCTTTATTTTATTTTTATTTTATTGCTATTTAACTGTATTTTATTACGTTGTAAAAGATTTTGTGTTTTATATCAGATTTCTTGTTTTTTATATTTTATGTATGCACCATGACATCAAGTCAAATTCCTAGTATGTGCGAACCTACCTGGCAATAAACCTGTTTCTGATTCTGATTCTGATAATGGTTTTGTGGTTTATTGTTTTGAAGAAGAAAAATAAACAACAAACCGAAGGAGAATCGAAATGTATTATTATTCTAATTTGATAAAACTGGAAATGAGTTGATATAAATGGCTGAACAAAACCAATCTGACAGTTAACATATCAGCTGAACTCTGACCTGAGAGTCTCCAGAGTACAGTGTTGACCCTCCAGTCCACCAGACAGCAGCTTCACACCTGAATCCGGCAGGTCGTTGTTACTCAGGTCCAGATCTCTCAGACTAGAGGACTGGGAGCTGAGGACTGAGGACAGAGCTTCACAGCTTCTCTCTGACAGGTTACAGCCACTCAGCCTGGGGAAAGATCAGCAGTGAACACAAAGAGTTTTATTCTCATATCTCAACCTGTTCCTAGTTAATGTAGTTTTATCTCCACTTACAGAGCTTTCCTGAAGGCTTTGACCACTGGCAGCAGCCTCAGAAGAGCCTCCTCTGAAGCAGAGTATTTCTTCAGGTCAAACACATCCAGATCTTCTTTTGATGACAATAAGATGAAGACCAGAGCTGACCACTGAGCAGGAGACAGATCCTCTGTGGAGAGACTTCCTGAACTCAGGGACTGTTGGATCTCCTCCACTAGAGAACGATCATTCAGTTCATTCAGACAGTGGAACAGGTTGATGCTTTTCTCCGGAGACGGGTTCTTTCTTATCTTTTCCTTGATGTATTTCACTGTTTTCTGGTTGGTCTGTGAGCCACTTACTGCCTGTGTCAGCAGGTCGTGTAATAAGGTCTGATTGGTCTCCATTGAAAGACCCAGGAGGAAGCGGAGGAACAAGTCCAGGTGTCCGTTTGGACTCTGTAAGGCCTTGTGCACAGCATTCTGGTAGAGATGTTTAGGTTTTTGTCTGAAGGCTTTAGACCACCAGGGGGCCATGAGGTTGACTCCAGAGTTGATGATGGTCAGATGGACATGAAGAGCAGCCAGAAACTCCTGAACGCTCAGATGGACGAAGCAGAACACTGTGTTCTTGTACGTTCCTCTCACCTCTTTAAAGACCTGTGTGAACACTCCTGAGTACACTGAGGCTGCTGTGATATCGATGCCACACTCTGTCAGGTCGGACTCATAGAAGATCAGGTTGCCTTTCTGCAGCTGCTCAAAAGCCAGTTTTCCCAGAGACTCCATCATCTTCTTCCTGCTCTCTGGACTCCAGTGTGGATCCGTCTCAGCTCCTTCATCATACTTGACGTTCACTTTGGACTGAACCACCAGGAAGTGGATGTACATCTCAGTCAGGGTCTTGGGCAGCTCTCCTCCCTCAGTTTTCAACATGTCCTCCAGAACTGAAGCAGAGATCCAGCAGAAGACTGGGATGTGGCACATGATGTGGAGGCTTCGTGAGGTCTTGATGTGGGAGATGATGGTGCCGGCCTGCTCCTGATCTCTGAATCTCTTCCTGAAGTACTCCTCCTTCTGTGGGTCAGTGAACCCTCGGACCTCTGTCACCATGTCCACAAACTCAGTGATCTGATTGGCTGCTGCAGGTCGTGTGGTTATCCAGAGGCGAGCAGAGGGAAGCAGCTTCCCCCTGATGAGGTTTGTCAGCAGCCGATCCACTGAGGTGGACTCTGTGACATCAGTCAGGACCTTAGTGTTGTGGAATTTCAGAGGAAGTCGACACTCATCCAGACCGTCAAAGATGAACAGAACCTGGAACTGATCAAACTTGCAGATTCCTGCGTCTCTGGTTTCAGAGAAGAAGTGATGAACAAGTTCCACCAAGTTGTACTTTTCATCACTCTCCACATTCAGCTCTCTGAAGGTGAATGGAAATATGAACTGGATGTCCTGGTGGGCTTTGCCTTCAGCCCAGTCCAGAGTGAACTTCTGTGTTAAGACTGTTTTCCCAATGCCAGCCACGCCCTTTGTCATCACTGCTCTGATTGGTTTACCTCTTTCAGTTGAGCCTTTAAAGAGGTCTTCTTGTCTGATGGGTGTTTCTGATCTGTCTGGTTTACTGGATGCTTGTTCGATCTGTCTGATCTCATGTTCCTTGTTGACCTCTGTGGTGTGTCCCCTGGTGATGTAGATCTCCGTGTAGATTTTATGTAGGGATTCAGATTTTTCCATAAATGTGATATTTTCAAATGTTTCCTTCAGGTTTGATTTGAGTTCACCTTGGCACTTAGTGAGAATATCTGAATGAATAAGAAAGACATTTACATGAAAGACACATCAAAAGATTTCCTTCTAATTGGACCCATTTCTGACAAAATAGCAGGTTAATTTCCTTATATCAAGTCACTGGATCTTGTTGCATATTTATCTGTACATTGTCCAGTATAAGTTCCACCCCACAGAGAACCATCTGTTTTCCCACAGAGAACCATGGCCCTAAACCTGACTGACTCTTATTCCTGCTGCTACCAGCAGATCCCAACACCCACTGAGGGTGTGGACACAGCTCTCTCTCCAGTTATACAGGAAGTGGATGGCTCTTACTGTGTTGCAGTATACTCCTGCAGTAGCCTACCATCTACAAGACACCCTGGGGGGTCCCAGTAATAACCCGTCCCTTCCTCACCAAGTCATGTAGGACGGCAAATGATACCCCCTTCCACCTGTAGGCGGCTGGGCCATTAGTAATGACTAGGACAGTCCCATTCAACATCCTGAGACTGAGTCAGCAGCTAACCTACACTGTGGAAAACAGCCGGGGTTTATCCAAGACTCCTCCTCCTGAGATATCTGACAGTTCGGCAGGACAAACCTCATTCCAAACAGAAATGGCCGTTTCCTGGGAAAACTTAGCACTCAAGGACTCACTGCCATTTCAGAGCACACTGATGACTTTCTGGTCATTCCTCTGATCCATCCCCTCCCCAACACTGGCTTTTAGCACGACCCACTTGTATTACATATCTCCAATGTCCCACCAGGATAAACTCGTTAATATAGCATTGGTGGTTCAGTGGTAGAATTCTCACCTGGATGCCCGGGTTAGATTCCCAGCCAATGCAGCAGAGTGTTTAAGTGGCGCAGTCTGCAGGAATTTGTGTTGGGAACCGAAGGGTCGCCGGTTGGAGTCCCGATCGAACCAAAATAATACGGAGTGTAGACTGGTTCCTGGAGAGGTGCCAGTTCACCTCCTGCCCTTGAGCAAGGCACATAACCCCCAACTGCTCCCTGGCGCTGGACAGACTGGCCGCCTGTTTTGCTCAGGCCTCTCTCACCTGTCCTGTGCATGTGTGTGTATTGTACTGTCTGTTACCACAACCGAGTGAACAACTGAGCTGAATTTCCCCTTTAGGGATGAAATAAAGCGTCTTCTCCTTCTTAATAACATCAGCTGCTAATCATAATGACGTTGGATAGTGTCAGTGCGGTCGGACTCTCAAAGCACAGCAGCTTCTTTTCCTAAGTCCTGATGAATCTTCCTATCATTAACCCCAAGATGTTTCACAGAGGTTAAGGAATTGTGGTTAGGAAGAGACGAAAGGCGATATATTTTGGACAATTTTACCGAAACCCAAACTTCCTAATCCAGGAAAGGTAATTGGCTTCCTAAAATGCTGATCTATAAAGGTTCTACTACCCCTCACCTGGAACCAACAGGGTGACCCTGCCAGAAACTAGTGACCCTGACCTCTCTGCTTTCAGGGGTACCTCAATCCCGACACCATGTGGAGGTGATGGTTCTCTGAGGGGTATATCAGGAGTGAAAAATAAAAAAAGTTATATTTTGGTAAACTCTTTTTGAAAGGCCTACCTTCAGGGTCTGATGGGAATTTTGATAATTCCTCTTCTAGATCATTCCTCGGGATCATCTTCAAAACTTCTCTGGTCACTTTAATGGTGTGTATGCCGTAGTACGGAAGCATCAGATCCACTGTGTCCATCCGGTCTGCTGCTTTCTGTAGTCGACTCTTTGGGATTCCTGGGAATTTTAGGACCTCCCCCTCCAGGCACCACTTGAATTTTTTTAAGTCCTTTTCCTCCAAATCTTCTAAAGTTTTTAATAGGACTTCTCTAGGTGTCTCCATCTTTTCTCCCTGCAGAGCAAAGGTACCAAGAAAAAAAATCTTTATCTTACAGAACAATATGTTGTTGTATTGTATTTTTGTACTTTTGAAAACCATAACAGGCCTAAAAACGCATCTTTTTAGAATAGCCTTTAACAGAAAACTGTCTCAGTCAGATCATAAAGTGGTCTAGCAGACTGATTGGTGAGTCACAGCTAAACCTGGAGCCCCTGCTCATCAGACAGTTACAGAGGCTGTCTAACTCCATGTTTAATGAAGACTCCCACCCCTGCAACCTGAACTTCAGCTTCTTCCTTCGGGCCGGAGGTTAATCTTCCTAAAGGTGTAGAACCAAGAGGTTTAAAAACAGCTTTGTCTGTGCTAGTGGTTTTCAATGTGTCTGTGTTGTTTGAAGCATGTGTCACGAGCAGAGATGGGGTCGTTACTAAAAAAAAGTAATATATTACACTACTTCGTTACTCTCTACATAAAGTAACTCGTTACTTTACTCGTTACTTTACTCGCAGGGCCGGCCCGCCCCTCCCTACAGACAGATCACGCAGACTGCTAAAGTTTCAAATGTTCTCTTTAGTTCAGTTTCCATTGTCGCATAAGACTGATCCAGATAGCTCTGACTATGGATGTCCTCTGTCTCCTGCTATCTGTATTTTGCGCAGTATATCTCTGAACGATGCGATGGTGATTCCACTGTGCAAATGGGCAACATTACCTCTACTATGAAGGATGCTACAAGCCTGTCCATCTCTGCTTTGGTTACCGGTCCTCCAAATTCTAATTTGTGCCGCTTCGTTGTCGGCGGCGGCGCACTCACAACATCCTCACTCTGGGTTCGGGGGTCCTTAGCTATTAGCTTCACCTTAGCATGTGTTCTTTGCAGGTGCTTGTTGAGCTTTGACGTGGTGTTTGCAGCAGTGGATAACAGCTTCTGGCCTGGACACAGTTTGCACCTCACCGTCACATTCCTGTCTATTCTTCGGACGAACTCAAAATAATGGGCATACCTCCACCCCTCGAAAGTTATCGCTGACTCTGCCATGTTTATGCAGCAGTGCACGTGGAGATGTGGACGCGCAAGTCGCGCAGATTACGTACATATAAACCTGCGGCGGAAACCCCTCTTGTCTGTCAGTGTGATTATGACTGATTTTATAAAAGTAACGAAGTAACGCGTGTCGGGGCAATGTTAGTAACTGTAGTGTGATTACTGAATTATAAAAGTAACGCGTTACACTACTCCGTTACCGACAAAAGTAATATTATTACAGTAACGCGTTACTTTGTAACGCGTTACACCCAACTCTGGTCACGATGGATACCTTTTATTTTTTCTGCAAACCAAGTCTACCCACTGGTACAAAGAAATAACCTGGACCTGAACTGGACAGATTGGATATTGTGACAGTGGGATACAGTTAGGGCTGATGGTAGAGAGAGACGCACACACCTGGTTCTGGTCTCCGGCAGTAAGCTGGTTACTGGACACAGGTTCAGGACCAGGTTCCGGTTCAGGACCAGGTTCCGGTTCAGGACCAGGTTCAAGTTCAGGACCAGGTTCAGGACCAGGTTTCCAGTTCAGATACATGTCCAAGTCCTTCTTCAGATCCCTGTCCAGGTCCAGGTCCAGGTCCAGCAGAATGTGTTGTTTGCTCTTGGCTGGAACTCAACACACATAGCTTTGAGTGAATAATGAGTGCTGAGCTTGACATAGACCATAGTCAGCTAACGTCTGCCCTCTCTTCTTCCCTATCCAGGCCCCATGCTGCACTCTCACTTGAAGAGCATGTGCACCGGTATAATAACACCCTGCATGAGTGCCAAGACAGGCTGGCACCTAAAATAAGCCGAGTGGTGTCTTTCCATCGCTCTGCCCCATGGTACACTGACCAGCTCAGAGCGCAAAAATCAGAGGGTCGGAAGATTGAGCGCAGATATAGGAAAACTGGCCTAACTGTCCACCTGCTCTCTTTTAGAGATCACCAGAAGGCCTATTCCTCGGCATTGAGAGCAACCAGGTCAGCCTACTACTCCAATCTGATTGAGACAAATCGTAACAAACCCAAGCACCTATTCTCCACAATGCATCGGTTGCTCAAGCCTAGTGATCCCTCATCAACCACTCCTACAACTGATGACTGCAACCGCAACATCAGGCTTAACATCGCCAAAGCCTCCTCAAACCAACCTGTCTCTCCCCAACATCCTGTACTTGCTCCACCAAATGCACCAACCCTAAACTGCTTCACGGAGGTCTCGCAAGCTGAGCTTTCAAAAATCATCTCAGCAATGACCTCATCTAGCTGCGCCCTTGATCCTATCCCCACCTCCCTACTGAAAGCCTGCTCTCCATCCATTATTCCAACTGCCACCATCATAATGAACAAATCCTTGTTGAGTGGTGAGGTCCCCCCCTCCCTCAAGCTGGCAGCCATCAGACCGGTCCTGTAGAAGCACAACCTGGATCCTGAGGTACTCACAAACTACCGCCCCATCTCAAACCTGCCTTTTCTAGCAAAAGTTCTGGAAAAAGTTGTTGCCCCTCAGCTTCACGAACATCTCCACACTCATGAGCTCTATGAAACCTTCCAGTCCGGTTTCAGACCAGCTCACAGCACTGAAACAGCGCTGGTGCGGGTTCTAAATGACCTGCTGATGGCGGCTGACTCTGATTCCCCAAGCCTACTCATCTTGCTGGGCTTAAGTGCAGCATTTGACACTGTTGACCATCGCATAATTTTTTCATTTAATCGTTTATTTGGCAGGGACAATGCACAGTAATGAACACTTAAAACATTCAAATGTGTCAAGCGTAACAGTGCCAGATTTAGCTTTGAGCTCATTTCCATCCGCAGTCCCTCACTGCAAAAAGTGCAAAAGAGCAAGAGCAGCATACACAAGTATTTACCACCTGGCAGTACAATACAGCAGCTACAACATATAAAGTGCAAGAGAAGATACAATAGCTACCTAAAGGGCAAGAGGAGATACCCCTGTGTTAAAGTGCATTTAGCGGTGATTACATGTCTGTTTGTTTCTCAACCATTCTTTGAGTTGACCTTTAAAGCTATTGAGAGTGGGACAATCCCGTAACTCAGTTGGGAGGCTATTCCACAAAGAGCTGCCTTTAATGGAGAGGACATTTTGTCCAGAAGTGGTCCGTCTGCGGTGGACCTCACAGTCTCCTCTGGTTTCTGACCTAGTGCAGCGTCCAGTGTGTTTTTTGTGGATGAATTCCCCTAAGGGAGGGGGGGGAGGGGGCAGTCCATGTAAACATTTATAAATAAAACACATACTTTTAAAAGACTCTAAATGGTAAAAACTCAAGAAATTGTGTTTATCTAGGATGGCACAGTGGTGGTATGAATAAGGCTTTCTGTCAAACACCTTGATAGCTCTCTTGTACAGCAGTTCTATGGGTTTCAGGTTTGTGGCACAAGCAAACGACCAGTTTGTAAAACAATATTCAATGTGGGATAGAATCATACAGTGGAGGTATGACTTTGCAGCATTGACAGTTAAGAAAGGTCTGATTTGTTTAACATTTTGCAAGTTGAATTTAACAGTATTGGATACTTTCTTAATATGTTTCTTAAAAGTCAAGTTCGAGTCCAGTATGACTCAAAGATACTTGAAGTGGGGGACCAGTTCTATTTCTGCTCCGTTTAAAAACACATTGGATCCTTCGATTTTGACTGGTCGTTTACTGAACATCATGCATACTGTTTTTTTGCATTTAACTGTAAGCAAATGTTGTTCAGCCAGTGTTGAACCTTGTCCAATGCATTTGAGAGACTGGATGTGATTATTTCAGTATTTTTCCCCTGTACAAAGATGACCGCATCATCGGCATACATTTGTACATTCAAATCAGGACATACATTAGGCAAGTCATTAATGTACAGAGAAAACAGTAATGGTCCAAGAATGGAACCTTGTGGAACCCCAACAGGGTTCACAAGGTAGGGGGATTTGGTACCGTTGACCAAAACACACTGTTTTCTGTTCGATAAGTAAGACTCAACCCACTGTATTGAATCTGCCGAAACATTTAAATACGTCAGCTTTGTAAGGAGCACTTGGTGGTCAACAGTGTCAAAAGCCTTCCTGAGATCAAGGAAGACAGCACCTACATATGGGCTCGTGTCCAACATAGATTTAACCTTTTCCACAAAGACACAGTTAGCTGTCGGAGTGGAGTGGTGAGCACGAAAACCAAACTGCATTGGGTGGAGTGGAGCGAAGCCTTTATCTAAATGTTTGGTGATTAGTTTTGACACCCATTTCTCAGCTACCTTAGAGACACAGGGGAGGATGCTGATTGGTCTGTAGTTGGACATCATTGCCTTATCCCCAGATTTAAAAATCGGTGTCACCGTGGCCACCTTCCAGGATGATGGAACTTCACTCGTGCTGATAGATTGATTTACTAGCATACTAATTGGTTTTATTAGACCGTCAATATTTGTCTTTATAAAGTTGGTGTCTAAATCATCTGCATCCCTAGCCTTAAAACCTTTTAACCCTAAGAATCTAAGATTATATTTTTTACCTCCACCTCTGTGATTTCCTCCAGGTCAAAAACGGGGTGTGTATCCACAGTCGGGCTATGGGAGACCTCAGATGGCGGGAAGAGCTTTGTGATTTCCAGAGCACTATTTTTCAAGCTCTGCTTTAATAGTTGGTCTCTGGATTTCCTTAAATTCCTGCACTGTAGATTTGGGAAGATGATGTTCCTTCCTGTCCCTAAGGCACCCTTTCCTTGAGAAGGAAGACACTGTATCATTAATTTTAGATATAAATAGATTACTGTTTTCACCAATGTCTTCAGAGGACAGAGTGTCCCCCCAATTCATCATTTTCACTGCCTCCATAAAACGTTGTTGCAGGTTTTTCGGGATGAAGCGTGAACCCAAGGCAGGGGTTTTAGGTGTGGCCATGAACCTTTTTTTTGTGAGTTTCCTGGCAAAAAGAACAAGAGTATGGTCAGAAAGACCAGTCAGGAAGTTGTAGGTTTTAACTATTCTGTCAGCTTTGTAAATAATAAATCTATCATAGTCTTGGAGGTTTTGGTTATTCTAGTCGGTTGATCCATTAGTTGTATTAAGTTTTGTTTATCCGTGATCCGTTTTAAGCTTTTTCTATTTTGTTTGTCATTCCAGTTGATATTAAAGTCTCCTACAATAATTAGCTCTTTGTTGGAGTCACAGGAATTCAGCAGGAGTTTTACCTGGTCATAGAAATCCACCTTAGCGGTGGGTTGTCGATACAGGCAAATCATGGTGAGGGACATTTCCTCAGATAGTGTGATTTCCACACCAACACAATCAAACTCAATATTAGCTGGGAGTGCAATCTCCCTACAAGTAAAGGTATTCCTCACATAAAGCAACACACCCCCTCCTTTTCCCTTCAGTCTGTCCTTCCTAAACACATTATATCCTGACATAGATACAATAGTGGATGGTGACGAATGTTTTAGCCAAGATTCAGATATTCCCAAACAGTCAATATTGGACTCAAGGAGGAGATGTTCTAGTTGTTCATGTTTATTGCAGATGCTGCGGAAATGTAAATGTCCACTGAATAGTCGCTTCGGCTTGCACCGAGGATCCCACACTGTTTTTGCTTGATTCACTGTTTGAAACATTTTTGTGAAACGGTGTTTTTTAAATACAGGATTTCTAGGCTTTACCTCGGTGCCGTTGTTGATAGTGGAGCAGTCAAAGCTAGCTGGTGGTTTATGGATCTCTGCCGCTAGGCTGCTAGCCATCGGCGCGGTCCTGCAGTCCTTCGATGCTGTGGATGTTGGTCCTGCTGCTAGGCCAGCAGCCGTCAGCGCGAGACCACAAAGACCCGCCGGCAGAGCTAGCTGTCCAGCTAGCCGGCCTCTTCTGAAGCCAGTCTGGTGGTGTCCGGTGGTGTCCGGTGGTGTCCAGTGGTGTCCGGTGGTGTCCGGTGGTGTCCGGTGTTGTCCGGTGGTGTCCGGTGGTGTCCGGTGGTGCGAGAATCTCAGCTGCTAGGCCGCTAGCCCTCGGTGCGGATCCGTAGTTCTCCGATGGTGTGGGTAGAGGTCCTGCTGCTAGGCCGGCAGCCGTCGGCGCGAGACCGCAGAGACCCGCCGGTGGTGCTAGCTGCTCAGCTAGCCAGCCTCTTCGGAAGCCGACTGATGGCGTGTGGAGCTCAGCGGCTGGGCCGCCAGCCATCAGGTTGATGGAAATGGCGCCAGGACCCAGACACAGGTGGATATCTCCCGAGAGCAAGAGACACAACAGAGCCAATAGCCCAATATTCTCCTCTTTTCGTTTTAAACCCTTTTTTTTGTTTGAGGGAGTCAGCCAGGAGTGCCAGATGAATGAACTGTAGATAATATGCCGACTATGGCCGAAGTGCTTGATATTCAACGATGTTGCTGGTGCAGATAATGATGTATCCTCAACATGTTGTTTTACCATGGAGGCAAGATGAGTGGTGTAGCTACACAGAGGTTTGACATTTAGGACAATCATGCAGAGATAGATTGCTGCCACTGCGCCAGAACTGCCTGCCGCCATCTTGGGAAATGGGCGCATCATGTGTCGGCGACTCCAGGAGGTGGGAATCGCTGGCAAGGCTCTGGACTTTTTCCACTCGTACCTCACCGGAAGACAGTAATATGT